TTTACACCTTTAATGTCTCCAAAATAGAGAAATTGGGTCGAACCGTTATACAGGGTGAGATGAAAAACTGCAACCAACTTCAGACGCTGTCATTTTTAAGCCACTTGTCCGGCAGCTGTTAAAATTATTACAGTCACAGCTCATTATATTGTTTAAATGCGTATAAAAGCATTTTGGTGAGAATTTTCCAGAAATAAAGTTATTCGTGATGGAATTCAAGCGTAATAGGGGTATTTCTTTAAATTTGGCTGGAAAACCACAAGTGGCTATCGTTAGAGCACTCCAGCATTTAAATGTGTACAAATTTTTATGTCTCGTAACATCGCTCGTTGCCGTGATACTGGAAGCCTAGACCGACGTCAAGGAAGAAGACGGAACAAAACAGCAACATCAGCAGAAATGGTTCGAAAAGTAAAGAAGCGACTTGATCGAAACCCGCGTCGCAGTGACCGAAAAAAAGTGGCTCGTGAGCTGGACATATCGCAATATTCCATTCGGAAAACATTGAAAAATCAGCTCGGGGCAAAGCCTTTGATATTCCAAAAAGTGCAAGAAATTACACCGCAAAAGAAAGAAACCAGTAAAGAAAATCTTAAAGACGGGACCGACTTTATGATACCCGACACCACTTTGCTCATTTAGTAGAGCTCCGCATAAAAATTAAAAGTTTTTATGAGAGAATTCCATCATACACGCTAGGATTATAATTATAATTTAAAGTTCAAAGGACTAGATATGCCGAAGCATTTGCATCTTTTAAATTCGGACTTGTATTGCCCATTTGGTGCACAATTAATTTGAAATCGGATAAAGATATATGTGGGAGCTATATCCAAATCGGAACCGATCTCGATAAAATTTGGCAAAGATATTTCTGAGCTGTATTTGTTATATTTCCCTGAATATCGTTGTTACAGAGTGCATATTACGGCTGTGGGTAACAAATCGGATGAACAATATATATCGCCAAATTTCTTCAATTTACTAGCTTCTAGACTCAATTCGGTCGTAAGTGCCAAATTTCATCTCATTTGGGCAAATATTAGACGTTTGGTGCACAATACAAGGTAAATCGGACGAAATTATATATGGGAGATATATCCAAATCTGAACCGATCTCGATAAAATTTAACCAGTGTATTTCTGAGCTGTATTTGATAAATTTCCCCAAATATTCTTGTTACAGAGTGCATATTACGGCTGCGGAGGACAAAAATAATATATATATGGGAGCTATAGCTATATCTGAACCGATTTCGAAAATTTGGCATACTTATTTTCAGGCCTAATTTGATTGTATGTGCAAAATTCCATACCAATCGGGCTTATATTACACGTTTGGTGCACAATAAATTTTTACCGATTATCTCCAATTTCAATAGGGTTCGTCCTTGGGCCAAACAAATGATTTGTGTAAAATTTCATCTGGATAGGGCAATAAATGCGAACTGCGAAAAATACATGGACAGACGGACAGATGGACGGACGGACATGCATAAATCGACTCAGAATGTGATTCTATGCAGATCATCAAAAGGAACTATGTGTCTATCTCGTTCCTTTTGCCTGCTACATACAAATGCACAAAGACATAATACCCTGACCACCTTGTGGTGTAGGGTATAAACAGACTCAAAAGAGCTAAGGAGTTGCTTCGCTTTGTCGAAAGTGGTGAACAGCCGCATTTGTTTTTCTCCTATGAGAAAACATTCGTTGTCTAGCAGTCAGCCGAAAATGTGCACCTTCCGTTGGCCAACAGAACTCAAGCACCGGCCATGGTGATGGTGTGGGCCGCCATAACAGCCGATGGTCCCTTTCCGCTCGTATTAATCGACCGTGGTATCAGAATAAATGCCGAATATTATCGTGAAAATATTCTGGAGGGTGTACTAAACCTTGGGCACGCAAACATTTTGGCCGCAGACCTTGGACATTCCAACAGGACTCAGAACCCCTGAATGGTTACAAAATGAGGTTTCTCGTTTCATTTCCAGCGCACAATGGCCACCAAAATCTCCGGATACCAATCCGTTAGACTAATATGTCTGGACTATTTTGGAAAGCAAGGTTGTCCCTAAAAAATACCAAAGTGTCGATCAACTCAAGTAAGCGCTTCGCCGGGAATGGGCCAAAATACCGCAGAGCCACATTCATTGGCCGTTTGAAGGCCATAATTCGTGCCAAAGGTGACCAATTCGAACAAATCTAAACTTATTTTAAAATTTGATGCTATTTCCGACATGTTTTGCTTTCAATCGCTGATCACAAATATATATACTTTGTTGGGTCTGACATGAGTATTTCGAGGAGTAACAAACGGAATGACAATGTTAATGTACCCTCCATAGTATGGTGGAGGGTATAAAAAAATGTTATTATGGCGTTTGACTTCGTGTTGGAAGTGGTTTAGAAAACATAGAAATATATTATCTACTGACTCATATTTGCAATTGTCCAATGTTTTTCTCTTTCTCCACTGCAGAAGCCTTCTTTCGTCATATATATCTAGAATGGCGTTACTAAATTGTGATTGATTTTGACTTCAGTATTATATTAAAATAAATAGCATATTTTTCTTTTTTATGAACATGTTAATTTTTATTTATAAAGATGTTAAAAATATATTAAATATTTATTTTTCCTTATAAGAAAGTTACTCAATATTAATGAAAGTCAGGATCAAGTGTTTTAAAAGATGGACCAAATCTAGACTTAAAAAAGGTCTGAGTTCATCCCTGACAGTATGCAAACAATTGTCGCTTACAACAACCTTTATTTAATAAAAAAATCACATTAGAATTATAAATAAAACAAATTTAAAATATATTTACCAAGGCTTTAGGCAATAGAGTATTTTCAATAAAGTTTTCCATATCCAAGTGAACACCACTCTTGAAAACTGGCATACCATTTTTTACTCTGTCAATATAAGTGGCAGCTGCAACTTCTAATTCTTTTATAAGCTCATCTTTAATTTGATTAAAACATTTGGAATCAATGTGGTTCTAAGGAACAAAAAAAAAAAAAAAATATATAAGTTTTATGATAATATGATGCGAATTCTACAAAAAAACGTACAGCCTCATCATTAATAACCAAATCAATAAGATCAGACTAAAGCTCAAAGAAAAATTTATTTATTGAAATTACATTGGAAAAGGTCGAGTAAAAAACAAACTTGAAGTATGAATTAGTGTGTCTTCTAATAGGCCAGCGCTCACGAAACCGGCCGACAAAATAATGCCAAACAATACAGCAATTTGAAATTTCATATTGATGTTTGCAATGGTTCAAATATGTTCAGTTTCCGAAATTTAAATGCGGTAGCTTGACAAATGATAACAATTTATTTACAACTTCGCAACCAGACTTATTTCAATTTCTCCGAAAATATTTATTTAGATTTATTTGAACAGCCAATTAAGAGACAACTATTGTTTTATCCTTTACACAATACTTGAGTAGAAACACAGTTTTTTTTTGAAATTTAATAGAATCATTAAAAAATTATATATTTTTTGACAAGATTATGGCAAATATAACCTAAATAACGCATACTTCTTTGGTCGGCGTAAAATAAAAATGGAATGTGGAAATTGTTTTGTGAATCCGGCAACTCTGGGCGAATTAATATGACATAACAACATTCCGTGACATATTTTATTCTATATACCATTGGTACCAAACATCGTCTCTCTGCCCTAATTTCATTGGAATCGGACATACATATCGCGTTGGGTGCATCAAATATGCAAAATCAGCCGAAAATATATATGGAAGCTATAATCTGAACCGATTTGAACGTAATTTGTAAATTTATTATCTGATCAAATTATAACATTCAAACTTGCAGAATATAAATCAAATGCTCCGTACCGCGCCAATTATTTAAATCTTTTTCTACTCTTTGTATATTTGGACAATATTTTTCTCAATTTTACGACAATCTTATGTAAATGCTTAGAAGAAGTTTAAAGCTTCACAAAAGTGATGAATTATGTACTACATGTTTGGGTAACTGTAAACAACATAGCCTTATTCCAGAATCTGCAAGAATCTACTTTTTCCGATATCACAAAGGAAAATCGGTTATCGTTGTAAAAACTTTTACATTCTTTCAGTTATGTAACAGGGCACAGAGAGTATATAAATTCATCATTCCGTTTGTAATTCATCGAAATAATAATTTTATACCTAACAAAGTATATATTCTAGATCAGCTGTAAAAACTAAGCCCTGTCCGTCTTTTGTAATCACGCTAGAGTCAAAACGAATTAAGATATTAAGCTAAAATTTGGCACAGATCAATCTTTTGTCTTTTGTCCATTATATTTGGCAGACGACGGACACTAACTAGATTGTTTTATTTCCTGGAGATAAGAAAATCGGTATACTAGGGTAAATTATATTCTATTAAATTTTTGTCCTTTTGTGAGGGAGGTAACAGAATGATGGATGGACATTGCCCTTCTCCGAAATCTATCTAAGTTTGACAATAATATTAGGATGTGCCAAGTTTGGATCAAATCGGATCGGATAATGTGAATCGGGGGGAATCAGAAGGTGCAGAAGGGAATCAGAAGTTGCAGATTCAGTAGCTTCCGAAAAGTTTTAGCTTGAGCTGGAAGACATAACTATCATGTCAAAAAATGAAAAAGCGTAATAACGACGCTAGTCTAGGCCCTAATGCATATGTTTTTATAGATTTTCCCATTTCCGCATTCTGTTTCTTTATTGTCTGTGAAGGACGAAAAGTTATTTGGGTTATATTTGCCAACAAATTTTTAAAAACTATATATGCCGCAATAAGTCTATTGAAAATTAGGTAAAGCTGTGTTTATCATAAACTTAAATATTCACATAGGCAGCAGGGAACATCAATTGTTTTTAAAAACTACGCGCACCTATCAATTGGATGTTCATCAAAAACAAAACTAATATTTGCAGACAAATTTGAATAAGACTCGTTAAGGAGTTAGTTATAGATATAAATAATTCTGTCTTGCAAAAGCAACTTCAGTTGAGTTTCGAAACCCGAACTTATTAGACTATTAACAGAACTACAATATGAAATTCCAAATTGCTGTATTATTTGGCGTTATTTTTTCGGCCGGTTTCGTGAGCGCTGGTCTATTTGAAGATACACATAAACTCATTGATTTAGTTATTAATGATGAGGCGGTACACTTTTTTTTGTAGAACTAGCGTCGTAGTATCTTAAAACTAATATGAAGTTTCTTCTGTTCCTTAGGATCACATTGATTCCAAATGTTTTAGCCAAATTAAAGATGAGCTTATAAAGGAATTAGAAGTTGCAGCTGCCACTTATATTGACAGAGTAGAAAATGGTATGCCAGTTTTCAAGAGTGGTGTTCACTTGGATATGGAAGACTTTATTGAAAATACTCTATTGCCAAGTGCCTTGGTAAGTTTACTGTAATTTATTTAATTTTTCTTCTAATGTGATCTTTTTTATTAATTAAAGGTTTCTGCAAGTGACGATTGTCTGCATACTGTTAAGGATGAACTAAGAGCTTTCTTGAAGTCTAGATTTGGCCCATCTTTCAAAACACTTGATCCTAACTTTTATAAAAATTGAATAACCTTCTAATCACCAAATTAAAAAAATATATATTCTATATATCAATGTGAAAAAATTCCTTCTTTACAATTTTGTGGTTTTAAAAAAGTCTGACTTAATCTTGATTTTATAAAAACAATGTTTAATTTTTTAATTTAAACCTAAATCGGCTAATGACAGTTACTACTGTTCAGTTCTATAAATATGGGTTAATAAATGGGTTAATGTTTCGATACATCAAAATCGACAGATAAGTAGAAAAAGGCTTCTATTCGATTTTACCACAAACACGTTTTTTTACATAGTAAGTTTACAAATTGTTCGTTATCATAACTACTTACAAATCAACCCACAAACCCAATACGTTCACCAGAAACAAGTGTTCATTACTTGATGATTATAAGTCAGCAATACACTAAACCAAAATATTTGTTTAATTTTTAGAATCTACTTTTAAACTTTTATGTGTTGTCTGCTGCGGGCATTCTACTGACAACCTTATGATTCCTAGTTAAACACACTGTGCTGCTGTTGCGAATATAAAAGGTTAAAAGTATTACATCTACGTCAACAGCTCGTCGTTATGTAACACCCCGAAATATTGGTTGCCCACATTGGAATCTTCCTATCTCGCCGAGCTGAGTCGATCTAGCTATGTATGTCCGTCCGTTAGTCTGTCCATGTTAATTTGTAATCACTCTACAGGTCGCAATTATGGCCCGATCGTCACGAAATATAGAATGTAAGTGGGGCCAAGACCAGAATAGAAGCCTATTGCTTTTGGAGATGATCGCATAAAAATATAATATCAACTAGTGAAAAAGCAGCTAAATTCGGCCGGGCCGAATACCGAATACCATTTCAAAAGAACTTGAATAATTTCAAAAAAAAAAAAAAAAAAAAAATCCGAAAACTACTACTTCAATGAAAACCGTTATATGTGGAATACATGAATGCGTGGACCTGCATACGAAATTTCTTGTCATAGGCTGTAGTGCCCATTACGAACTTCAAATACGAAATTTGTTTCAATTAGGTTAATAAAGGCGCAAAAATCATGAAAATACGGGGTATCGGGAGGCACCATCAATGGGACCTGAATACGATTTTTTGCCATAAGTTGATTTTTTTACCCATTAAGATACGAAATTTGAAACGATTCCGGTGAACAATGCTGAAATCGTCAAAATACCGACTATCGGGAGGTACCGTTATATAGGGGCTATAAGAAGATTTGGACCTGCATACCCTAATTTTTGTCATAGGCTGTAGTACCCATTACGAACTTCGAATACGAAATTTTAAATAATTCCGGATTAGTGTTAAATGAAAGTCAAAATTTCCATTACACCGCAACTATTTTTAATTCCGGCGAAATCACAAATAGACGAACAGGCCAATTCTGACAGTAACGTAGGTGCCGATAGCAAATATATCGGATATATATAGCGATTTCATATATTGTATCGCATGCGATTTGTTAAATTTTACTTAATATTGAAGTCTATATTTTCTAATATTTTTTCACCTTACAACATAGGTTGCGGTTATTATATGCAGTCAGCAATTATTGTCCGATCCTCACGAAAATTTTCACAAGGGTAGGGTTACACTCAGATGGGCTAGGCCTATTTTTTTCAAGGATATTCGCAATATATTCATATTGGAATGGACCAAAAACAGAAAAAAATTTCCTGATCACACAATTGAAGCCAATCGACACGCTTGAGAAGAGAGTTAAGGACAGGGAAGAATTATAGCATTTTGGATGACTATTGGATTATGTTTAGCTGTAAAATGGACTACAACAACTAACACCACAACGGAGTGCGTATATATTGGGCAAATGTCCCTGTTCAAAATGCTAAGGGTAATAACTGGGCAGTACTCCGTGACATAATTTCAAAAGCGAAATATTCCAAAATGGATTTGGACACAAAGGGGCTTCTAACATATTGTAGTGTTGTAGGGTATCACATGGTCGGCCTCGCACGGCTGTAGCGTTTGCTTACTTGTTTTATTATCATTTGATACGGACAAAACGTACCTAATCGAAATAACTTTGTTAAACCCTGAGGCCTTCGTACAAAATAGGGTGTCCGTCCGTATTCCGTCTGTCTGCTGGGCTAGTGCGCACAATAAGTCTCAAAGGTACAAACATGGTACATCGAAATATTATTGTCAAACTAAATTCGAGTTTAGTGATGGGCAATATTGGGCCACTTCTTATGGTATCTCCCCCACAAAGATCAACGTTTTCACAGAAAATAATAAAAACAAGAAAGAATCATGCAATTTTCTGAATCTTTGCAAATTCCAATATTTTTATTAGTCATATGTGAATTGCGGAAATAGACATGTACCTCCCCACTCACTACGAGGAAAATATTAAGCAAGTAAAAAAGCAGTAAGTTCAGCGGGACCAAACTTTGAATACCCTCCACCATTTGGAACGAATTAGAAATTTTCAAAAAAAAATAAAATCCATTAGAAATTCTATTAAAATCTTAAAAATACCGAATATTGGAAGATGCCGATATATGAGAGATATACGATATTGTGGACCTATTTATATATTTCTAATTCAGGGTGGGTAAAGTACTCACAAAGAACTCCTTGTGTAGAATTTAAGACAATTCCATTGAAAAATACCGAATATCGAGGGCCGATATAGCCCATATTCGTACTTGACTTGCCTGCAGACAAAAGACAGATCTGTGCAAAATGTTGGCTTCTTATCTTAATGCGTTTTGACTGTAGCGCGATTACAACAGACGGATGGACGGAAAGGGTAAATCGTCTTAGAATTTTACGCTGATCAAGAATATATATACTGTGTTGGGTCTAAAATTATTGTTTCGATGACCATACCATACAAATGCAAAAGCAAAACAACTTCAACATTCTTTAATAATATTTTTGATGAAGTTTCCCTTATTCAAATGAACATGGTTCTTGAAGACTTTGATGCCATTTTCTAACGCAATAAATTCCAAAAAGCTTTCATGGTTTACAACATACATACATGGTTTAAAACATACTGACTTGTTAATCATTTAGACTATGTTTTTTTAACAAAAAAAAATGAATTTGTAAAATCTGCTGACAGTATCATACCAAGTAATAAAGCGATTTGCAATTGTATGATCTTCTTGTTTGAGCAATTTCTTAACCTTAAGTAAATATGATTTACACCCGGTACTATAATTTATATCTGATATAATCTGTTGATAACATTTCATTTCGAAAGTATTTCAAGCTATTTTTCATATTCTTTGATCTCAATATTTTCTCACAAATATTTACTTGTTTTCTATTTGATAAACTCATTGAATTAATTTATTTTTTCGATTAATTTTCAAATTTTCCCAGCAATGCAAATACAGCTTGTAGATGTTTAGAAGTAAACAAGTAAATATTTGTATTAAAACTTCAGTTGTGCACACATTTTATTATCGATATTTCCAAACGACTCACATTTTTCAATCTGATATTTAATAATTGTCCAATTTAAATTGGCTATTTTCATTTTATTATAAAAAATTTCAAAAAAGGAAAAATAAAACAAAGTTAAATGAGAACGGCTCTTTTATACCCTATAGATGCTGGAATTAATATTAAAATTTATGATAATTGGGAGATAAACAACAGATTTCAACCGACTTGTTGTTGAATTGTGGCTGTTATTTAATTTATCTTAGGGCTTTGTACAATTTATATTTGAAGTTGGATAATTTTCATCTTCTTCTTTTTCTTCTATATCTATGAAGAGGAAAATGTTTGTACGTTTGTTTGCTTGTTTGTTTGTTTGTTTGTTTGTAATTTATGGACTTGAAAACCACTGCACAGATTTTCCTGAAAATTTTCAAGTATACTACAACATCGCCTGAAAGTAACATAGGCTATGTAAATTTTTGAAATTCCACTTGGAACTGGAAATATAGAATCAGAATCGGAGGTACCTCAAAAATTTAGATTTGATATGCACATATCTATTGATCGATTACAGATGCAGTCTCCAAATATAGGATGTGTTACGGGATTTGATCAGAAAATATATTTTCCAAATTATATTGAAATCGGATCAGATTTGGATATAGCTCCCATATTTATTTAATGTATCAAACATGCTAAGAATCTCTAATTTTAATGAAATTTAAAATGTGTAACGGAATTTAACGCGAACATACATTTGCCAAATTATATTGAATTCGGTTCAGATTTGGATATAGCTCCCATATATATTTTCGACCGATTTCATATATTTGACTCACCAAACACGATGTGTATGTCCGATTACAATGAAATTCGACATGAGTGACTGAATTTGGTACGAAAATATGTTTGTTAACTTATATTCAAATTAGTTCAGATTTGGATATAGCTCCCATATATATATTCGACCGATTTCGTTTATTTGATGCCCCAAACACCATATGTATGTTCGATTCCAATGGAATTCGGGCAGAGAGGCGGGATTTGGTACCACAAAAAATTTGCCGAATTAAATTTAAATCGGTTGAGCTTTAGGTATATCTCCTATATATATTTTTCGGCGGATCTCATGTATGTTATGTACCAAACACTATATGTATGTCCAATTTCAATGAAATATGGAAGATGTGACGGAATCTCATGTAAAAGTAAAATTTGTCAAATTATATTGAAATCGGTTCAGATTGGGATATGATTTTATTAGGAAGCATTGACCCACAACGCCTGCAATAGTATTAGGCTAACAGTAAAAAACTACACAACAATATAATTGAGAATACAATTTCAGGGAAGTATATTGCTACCTCGAATTGTTTGATTGCAACAGATATCCCAGTCAACCGCAAAAGATCGCAGTTTCCTGCTCGATTGGCTATTGCTATGAAATTTTTAAATCCGAAGGACAAACTCTTCGGTGATACGGACTAAATTTGCCATGTTCCAGCTTTTCTCATGGTCAGCTGTTACTGGCACGTTCAAGCGTTGGGGGACCGAGCTGTTTCTTTGTTTATGCATTAAATTATTACAATAATAACGTTTTTTAAATTAAAATTAATCTATTAATCGATACAGTCTCCAAATTTAGAATGCGTAACGGAATTTGGAACAAAAATAAATTTTCCAAATTGTATTGAAATCGGTTCGGATTTGGATAAAGCTCCCATATATATTTTCGGCCGATTTCACATAGTTGATGAACCAAACACGACATGTTAATTGGATGCACCAAACAGGCTATGTATCTTCAATTGCAAAAAAATTTGGAATATGTAATGAAATGTGGTACAAAAATAATTTTACCAAATCATATTAAAATCAGTTTGGATATAGTTCCCATACATATTTTTAGCCGATTTAATGTATTTGATGCTAAGTATATTAAATTTCAATGAAATTTAGAATATGTGATGAAATTCGGTTTAAAAATATTTTTTTATACCCTCCACAATAGTATGGAGGGTATATTATGTTTGTCATTCCGTTTGTAACACCTCGAAATATACATTTTAGACCCCACAAAGTATATATATTCTTGATCAGCATAAAATACTATGTCGATTTAGCGATGTTCGTCCGTCTATCCGTCTGTGGAAATCTCTCTAGCTTCCGAACGAATTGAAGTAGGTTGATAAAATTTTACTCAAATGTGTATTATGTCTGCAGGACTTTTGGTATTGAAAATGAACCATGTAGGCCCACGTCTTCGTATAGCCCCCATATAGCGGTACCCCCCATTTAACAGTACCCCCGCCCCCGGTATTCGGTATGTTGATGCTTTTAGCGACATTATTCACCGGAATAGTTTCAAATTTGGTATTTGAAGTTCGTAATGGATACTACATCCTAAGACAGAAATTTGTTTGTCCAGGTCCACGCCTTCGTGTAGCCCCCAAATAACGGTACCCCCGATATTCGGTATTTGATTTTAGCGACATTATTTACCGGAATTGTTTTAAATTTCGCATTTGAAGTTCGTAATGGATACTACAGCCTATGACAGAAAATTGTAGCTCCACGTTTTATAACCCCCATTATAAACATATTTTTTCAAGTTTGAATATTGTAATAGCTTGTGACAAAAGTTGCCTTTGCAGGTCCACGTCGTCGTACAGACCCTAATATACGGCTAAATTCGGTATTTTTAAGGTTTTAACATAATTTTTAACGGACTTTATTTTTTTGAAAATTGCCAAATTTGTTCCAAATGGTGGAGGGTATTCAAAGTTCGACCCGGCCGAACATACAGCTTTTTTACTTGTTTTTTTTTTTTTTTTTTTTTTTTTTTTTGTCAAATTATATTGAAAACGGTTGAGGTTTGGATATAGCCCCCATATATATTTTCGGCCGATTTAATATATTGGATGCTAAAAACAAGCTGTGTATGTCAAATTTCAATAATTTTTGGATTATGTGGTAAAATTTTTCTATGAATAAGTTTTGTCAATTTATATTGATTTGGATATCATCTTATTAAGGAACATAGACCCACCACGTCTTGGCAATGATAATAGGCTAACACAAAAATGTAATAGATGCTACGATTATTATGTATGTAGATTCAGATATATCCAATCGCTCTAATAGAATCAACTTTAACAGAGTGCATATTTCTATATGCTTGGAATCTGCAATGAAGATTAATAAATTCCAGGAACAAATTCTTCGAGTGTGCGGGCCAAATTTTTCCAAATGTAATTTCCGAAATATATATAGCCTATGTTACTTTCAGGCGATGTTGTAGTATACTTGGAAATTTTCAGGAAAATCTGTGCAGCGGTTTTCGAGTCCATAAATTAAAAATAAAAACAAACATACAGACATTTTCCTGTTTTATATATATAGATATACAATGAGAATAAAGTCTTTTTCTTTGGTGGCTGATAGTGAAATTTGATGAAAAATATTTTTGTCTTTGACGTAAAGTACGTCCTTAACCCTAAAATGTGTTTTTATAAATATGAATTCATAGCGTTTAGGTAAGTTTTAGATTTTTGACACCATATTTTAAAACAAGTAAGCAAAGGCTATAGTCGTGTGTGGCCGACCATGTGACACCCTACAACACTACAATACAAATCAATTTTGGAAGATTTCGCTTTTGATATTATGTCACGGAGCACTGCCCAGATATTACCCATAGCATTATGACCAGGGACATTTGCCCAATATTTACGCACTCTGTCGTGCTATTAGTTGTTGTGGCCCATCTTACAGCTAAATATAATCCAATGGCCTTCCAAAATGTTAGAATTCTTTCCTGTCCTTAACTCTCTTCTCAGCCGTGTCGATTGGCTTCAAATCTGTGATCAGGATATTTTTTCTGTTTTTGCTTCATTTGAACCCCTAAATATTTTTCCAACATCTTCAAAAGCAAGAGGCTTGTCTGTATCTCCACATTTAGACTCATCTATATGATTTGCTTGTCTACGTTATTTGGCTGTATTCGTCAACTAAATCAGCAACATCTTCAAAAGCAAGAGGCTTGTCAGTATCTCCACATTTAGACTCATCTATATGATTTGCTTGTCTACGTTATTTGGCTGTATTCGTCAACTAAATCAGCATAAAAAAGCCTGAAGATATCGCCTGTAAGTAATGTTGGCATTTTTTCACACAAAAGGGTGGTCCATTCTGCCCGCTGTCCTAAACTCTAACTTCATGCGAGATTTCGTGTTCTTCGGTTTCTATCTGTGACCTTTATAACGGCTGCAAAATCACGAATATTTTTAGTTGTTGGTCCATTTCAAACCCTATATATATTGTGGACATCTTTAAAAACAATAGGCCTAACCCTTCCGTTGTGAAAATGTTCGTGAGGATCGGACGATAATGGCAATCTATATATAATAATCCCAACCTGTGTTGTAAGGTGAAAAAATATTACAGAATATACACTTCAATATTATAAGTCAAATTGAAAAAATCGCATGCGATAAAAAATATAAAAAAAAAAGGAAAAGAATGTCACAAAATACTACAAAATCTATATTAACATCATTATTGGCATCTTTTTATGCGATTTTTAGATTTATACTTTTATGCCAAGAGGGCATTCTGAATTGACAAAATTTGTTAAAATCGGTCCAGCCATTCTAGCTAACATCCCCTTCCTTTGTATATATCCATTGTATATATTTCGGTATATATATCCGATATATTTACTATCGGCATCTACGTAACGGTGACCTGTTCGTCTATTTATGATTTCGCCGGGATTAAAAAGATTCGCGGTTTATTGAAAATTTTACTTTTATTCATCACAAATGTTATGGACTATTTCACGCACTAAATATTATCCGATGACCACCAAAATTGGAAGACTTTTGCTCAACCCTAAGCCCTAGCCCCATGCTAACTTCCGCTTGATTGGTCTATAATCGCAACCTTTAGAGCAACTCCAAAATCAGGAAATTTTGCAGTTTTTGTCCATTTCAAGGCCTAAATATTATGCGATCATCTCCAAAAGCAATAGGGTTCTATTCTGGCCCTTTAAATTTCGTGAAGATCGGGCCAAAATTGCGACCTGTAGAGTGATTACAAATTAACATGGACAGACGGACGGACATACATAGCCAGATCGACTCAGCTCGGCGAGATAGGAAGGTCCATATATACTTTCCTATGTGGGAAACCGAGGTGTTCATAATTTTTGGCCCAATCAAACTTATAATACCCCCAACACATAGTGTTTTAGGGTATAAAGACTTTGGTGACTCATATTGTTTGCAATTTTGCCGAAGATACTATATACCTAATATCAGCGGATTCGGCAGAATCTTAACCGAAAATTTCCAAAAATGTAGACGATATTCTGGATTTTCCCTATAATCATTTTTAGTGTTGTCCAATGTAATTTATATCTAATTTTTATATTTTGGCCATAAGTTTTTAATGTGGAATGGAACAATTAATATTTTTATTTTAAAACGTAAATACATTTCTAAGTGAAATTATTATAATTTATATGTATTTGGATTTGCTTTATCTGTTAGAAATCAGGATCAATTATTTTAAAGGCTTCATAAAATCTATTTTTAACACTATTTCGCAGTACATGTTTGGCTTGGTGCAGACAGCCATCACTGGAATCAACCTAAATTTTAAAAAAAGAGCATATTTATTTAAACTCTACAAAAATTAGCATTTAACATACCACGTTTCTGGGCAATAGTTCATTAATGAAATTTCCCATATTTAAACGAAGCCCTTTTTTAAACACAGGATTATCACTTTCAACTCTCTCGACGTTTGTTGCACCAGCAATTTCGAGTTTATTTATTAACACATCCTTAATTTGATTGAAACATTCCGCATCTAAGGCTTCCTAAGAAAAAACAGTCGCCAACAATATAGTATAAAGTAATTAGTATGTATTTGTTTAACAACGTACTGCCTCATCGTCAATCACCAAATCAATAAGTTTACGCGTATCTTCAACTAGATCGGCATTTATGAAACTTTTTAATAAAATTATTCCAAATATTAAAACGATTTGTAGGTGCATTTTTAATGTATTGATTGCCTTTAAAACAAACTTTTGCAACTTTATATATTCCAAAAACATTTCTTTGGAAGGCATTGAGCTTTGTGTGGTGCAAGGCATTCTTCAAACAAATATATAATAATCTTTTATTAAGCGTAAACAATATTCTTCAAAACAAGCTAAGTTCGGCCGGGCTGAACTTTTTATATTTGTCAAATTTATTTTTGTACCAAATTTAGTCACTCAAGCCGAATCGTGTTTAGTGCACCAAACATGTGAAATCGGCCGAAAATATATATGGAAGCTATATCCGAATCTGAACCGATTTTAATATGATTTGACTAATTTATTTTCTAACCAAAATCCCGTCACACATTCCAAATTTCATTGGAACGGAACGTACATATCGTGTTTGATGCATCAAATACTATATATCTTAATTTGAACCGATTTCAAAAAAAGCTATATCTTAATTTGAACCGATTTCAAAATAATTTGACAAATTTATTTTTTTTTTTTTTGAAAAAAAAAAATTCCAGACACACATTCCTAATTTCATTGGAATCGAACATATATATCGTGTTTGGTGCATCAAATAAAGAAATCGGTCGAAAATATATATGGGAGCTACATCCAAAGCTGAACCAATTCGAATATAATTTGTCGAATATATTTTTGTACCAAATTTAGTCACTCATGCCGAATTTCATTGGAATCGAATATACATATCTTGTTTGGTGCATTAAATACATGAAATCGGTCGAAAATATATATGGGAGCTATATCCAAATCTGAACCGATTTCAATATAATTTGACAAATTTATTTTTGTTCCGAATTCCGTTACGCATTCCGAACTTGAGTCTTCTTCTGTAATCGATCAATATATATGCGCATATAAAATCTAAATTTGTTGAGGTACCTCCGATTCTGATTCAATATCTCTAGTTCCAAATGGAATTTCAAAAATTTATATAGCCTATGTTACTTCGAGGCGATGTTGAAGTTCACTTGGAAATTTTCAGGAAAATCTATTCAGCGGTTTTCGAGTCAATAAATTACAAACAAACATACATACATTTTCCTCTTTTATAGATATAGAAGACGAAGAAGATTCTCTCTCAGAGAGAACTCCTTGCGTGGAATTTCAGATAATACCATTGAAAAATGTGACTAAAATCATAAAAATACCGAGTATAGTGTGGTATCGTTATATGAGAGATATACACTGTCTTGGGCCTACAAAAACGATTCTCTTCCGGGTGGTAATGTACTCATAAGGAACTTCTTTTGTGGATTTTTAGACAATTCCATTGAAATATGTGGCTAAAATCATAAAAAATACCGAATATCGGGGGATACCATTCTATGGGGGATAATAATTTAGTCCTAACAAAGTATATATATATATATATATATATATATATATATATATATATATATATTCTTAATCAGCGTACAGCTCTAAGACGATTTAGCCCTGGCCGTCTGTTGTAATCACGCTAGAGTCAAGACGAATTAAGATAGGAAGCTAACATTTTGCACAGATCAATATCTTGTCTGCAGGCAGGACAAGTTTGAGAGAGATTTGTCTGTTTAGGTCTACGATATATAAATATTCGATAATATATATAAATATTCGGTGTTTTGGTGATTCTAACGACAGTATTCACCGACATTTTTAAAATTTCGTGTTTGAAGTTACCAATAGATACTACCATCTATGACTGAAAATTTCTCATTCTAGTCCATGACTTGTCCATATATTACGGTACGTCCAGGCATTTGGTATTTTGATGATTGTAGCCAAATTTTTAATGGTATTGTCTGGAAATCCACACAAGGAGTTCCCTCGGAGTACTTTACAACCTGTCTATATAGGTCCACGATGTCGTATATCACCCATATAAAGGTAACTCCCGATATTCGGTATTTTGATGAATTTAACGACAGTATTTACCGGATTTTTTCAAATTTCGTATTTGAAGTTTGTACTTCAACCTATGACGGAAAATTTTCTTTGCAGGTCCACGACTTTGTATAGCGCACATATAACGGTTAGCATTTGAGTGGTATTTTTCGATGGATTTTTTTGTTTTTTTTTTGAAATAGTCCACGATTTGGTATAGCTCCCATATAATTGTACCGATATAGTTACGGATTTTTGGCTGCATTGTTCACAATTTTAACCCAAATTCGCTGTAAATTGGCAGCATATGTTTCCATTATTTCTCTTATTCTTATTCTTGCATAATAAGTTAATAAGTTTTGATATAGTCGTATAGCCAACATATAATTTTAGCGACACTATTCACCGGAATTGTTTCAAGTTTCGTATTTGAATATCGTACTGGCCCATGACAAAAATTGCATTTACAGGTCCCCGTCTTCGTATAGCCCCCATATAACGGTACCTCTCAATATTCAATATTTTAATGATTTTAGCGACATTAATCACCGGAATTGTTTCAAATTTGGTTTTTGAATTTCGTAAAGAATACTACAGCCTAAGACAGATAATTGTCTGTGCAGGTCCACGTCTGATGATTTTAGCTACATTATTCACCGAATATTTTTTCACGTTTCGCATTTGAATATTGTAATGGCTTATGACAAAAGTTGACTATGAAGATCCACGTTGCCCTATAGACCCTTATGTAACGGTACAATCGGTTTTTTTAAGATTTTAACAGAGTTTTTAACGGATTTTTTTTGGAAAATTGCCGAATTCGTTCCAAATGGTGGAGGATATTCATAGTCGAACTTACAGCTTTTGTGCTTGTTGGACATTTCGAACTTTTGTGAGTGAGTTGCCCTAGCAAATGATTTCAGGAAAATGTATCCTTAAAAAACCGAAAATGTCAATAAAAAACCTTGTTTATTTCTGAAAAATTTAGAAATGTTTCCCTATTCGCAGCAAATTTTCTTATAATTTACCAGTCTGGGTTGTGGAAGATGCCAAGTAGACTTGATAGTATTAATTTTAATATCAAACCCGCAAAGGAGTTATGGGTTCTTTGACCAAATGACGTTAATTTTCTCATATAATTTTGACCATATACGAAGGGACCCCGACAGTTTGAGATATATTTCGAAATATTTAGGATATAGCTTTGAAATTGGATAGGTATACTTGCCAATAGTTTCCAACCGATTTGGCTTTTACCTAAATTCTTTGGCCGTATAACACTTTTCGCAATTTTCTGCAATATTGCCAAAGATTCTATATACCTAAAATGCACGGATTACAAGGAATCTTACCCTGAAAAAGTGTGGAAGAGGAGATAACTTGCCCCCTTTACTTCTTGATGTTATCTTTCAAAACGCTGATACGTGTCTTTAGCTCAACTGTCATAAGGTGCTGGATTTCTACTGTAATTATTGAAGGAAATTGAATTATATCACGCAATTTTATCTTGTGGTATGTTTCTTTAATCTGGGAACGGAATGAGAGGCATACCTTGTTTTTCATAAGATGTATATTTTAGTTTACCGACAATATATTCAATACATTTAAAAGCAGACATATTATTTTAATGGATTTGCCAAATCAAACCGAGGTGAATGCCTTGATTTCATCCATAACGCTATTCACACAATCAAGAGGTGAAGAGACCTAGTATAGTTTTGAAAATAAAATTAAAATTAAATGAATAAAAAAATAAAGATTTACATTAAACCTACCAGCTTTTTGTTGTAAATAAGGTCTTGAATGAACATATCCACTCTCATGCGGAATGTACTATCAAAAACTGGAACACCAGCTACAGAAGCCTTAATTAGCTGCCTGATAATTTCCTTTTTAATTTGAGGATGACATATAAAATAAATATTTTCCTAAACAAGAAAAAAGTACGAAATAAAAGAACGACCTTTTAAAATATAGAAAAGTAACTTTCATATTTATCATCAATGGGTTCTTTTATGTTATCGAAAACACCTGCTTCCACAAAAGCGGCGGAAAATACGACGACAAAAGCTATAGCAAAAATAAGCTTCATTGCAGTTTTATTATTTTGTTTATAGTCAAATATGTTCAAGTTCTAAAACTTAACTGAATTAGCTTAGCCGATGACACAATTATTTATACTCACGATTTAGTTCACGGTCTTCTACAAATATTTAATTAGTTTTTTTTTTAATAACATCCATCATAAACTGGCTGTTGGCAAATACCCATTCTTACAATAGTATTGTAGAGCACAAGAATTTGAAGTGTGAATTGTCGCCTATTGGGTTTCTTATGTTTGTGGAAAAGCCCCACAAATACAAAATTATGTCCCCTGTTTGATACGTGAACTTCGCACCAAATATAGGATTCTTTATTTTAATTTTAATTACATGTTAGTAGGGTTGTCCATATTCGACGGACGGACTTTTGACAGATATGTCACATCGCTTAATGACATACCGCGTTTTAAGCGTCAGTCCAAGAAGATTTTTACCATGAACCAATATACGCCACGCGAAATAGTTGAAATTTACATTCAACAGAAGAAGTCAATTGTGAAAACTCAACGTGCTTTGAAAACATTAAAAAATGTGAGTAGTGCGCCTTCTAAGAACACCATTAAGCGTTTATACGAAAAATCGGCCGAGAATATCGCTGCCGTACGAGCCAGTGTTGAGAGGTCCCCAAGAACATCCCAAAAACGCCGTTCTCAGCAGTTGGGTATGGCTCGGTCCACTTTACAACGGATTATTCGCATTGATTTGCATTTATTCCCGTACAAAATTCAATTGACGCAAAGAATGTTGCCTGCGGACAAGCCTCGTCGATTGGAATGGGCCCAAAGAGTCATGGGTCCGTCGAATATGGACAACCCTGTACTTTAGTGTGTGAACAGGACATATCACAGTTCGTAGAGCCATTGAAATAAGTGATAGAAGAGCTCGAATTTTAAATTTTTTGTGTTGTGGGTTTGATCGTCGTGCAGTAGCTACAAGGTAGAATATATCTACTGAATAACTCTAACATTTTTATGAAGAACAGAATAAGCAATGAATATTCTGTCAATTTTAATGGGATTGTTGTGAGTTTTTTTCTATTTCATGGAAATTTATTTTTATATTTTTAAATCTTGTTATCACAAGTAAGCGAATTCTATAATCTCGCGGTTCACTGAAAGAAAAATGCTTTGTTGTATCAATGAACCGGATTCGTTGATTTTTTTCATTGATGCAATGAAAAGCTACATTAATATAATACTTTTTTTGTTCATGCAATGAAAACTCACGTTGCTTTTAAATTCAATTATTTTTGGTTTCATTGAATATATGAAATGGATTTCATTAAGGTTATGAAACTACTTATTTTTACAAAATTCAGTAAAAAATGTGAATATAGAAATTATTCATAATAGCGCTGTCTTATACAAACAAATACGTAACCAAAGTATTTACAATTAGTCTGAAAATTGTGATAATTGTTATATTTAAATTTGTGCTCCAATTTAATGAAGCAGTTTTATGAAATGAATGAAACGTTACGTTAAGGAGTTTGTTTTTAGACCAACCAAATGATACATGGAAAATTTCATATCAATTGGACAATAAAGGCGATCTGCATTTTGTTCATAAAAATACATGGGCAGGCAGTCAGACTTGCTGACATGCTTTCAGAACGTGATTTTGTAAAGATCATCCAAAAAAGTAGGGTTTATCTCGCGTATTTCTACCTGTTACAAACAAATGCACAACAACAAATTAACCTCTACCACAGTGTGGTGTAGTTATTAAGAAGTAAAAAACCAAAGTTCAGCCGGACCGAGCTTTAATACCCTCCACCATTTTCATTTCACTGAATAAAATAAGAATTTTCATTATATTAATGAACAATTTCGTTAATTTCACATTAATGAAACTCAATGAAACTTTTTTCATTCATTCAATGAACCTCTACGTTGGTTCAAAATCAAAAACAAATGTCACTGACGGAACGTTGGATTTAATTTATGGTATGAAGCTTTTTCTTTCAGTGTTCTGACCAGGAACGTATTCTTAAATTACCGAATCCCTCAAGATATTGGTACTACTTAAAATGATTACAATTACACAATGCGACACAATTCAAGATAAATTTAAATTTAATTAGCTAAGGCTCAAACCAACGAAATTCTTTTCGCCTATAAGGTCTATATATTCGGAAAGTACTTCTCAAGACATTTTATTTTTATTTATTTATTATACCCTACAACACTATGTGTTGGGGGTATTATAAGTTTGATTGGCCCAAAAATTATGTAACACCTCGAAATATTGATTTCCCACATAGGAAAATATTTAGGGGTTGAAATGGACCAAAAACAGAAAATTTTCCTGATTTTGCAGTTGCTCTATAGGTCACAATTATGAACCAATCGACGCGGAAATTTACATTGAGTTAGAGTTTATGACTGGGCTGAAGCTCACCAATTTGGCCGACCTTCGGACAATATTAAGAAGAAACTAACTTTTGTGTAAAAAAATAGAAAATTTTTCACTAAACCGCGAATATTTCTAACCCTAGCCAAATCACAAATACATTAAAAGGTCACTCCTGAGGATTAAAGTGATGCTGATAGCCAATAAATCGGGTATATAGCAAAATAGGAATAATATATATGTAAAAGAAATATATCTTATTTATTCTGCTTATAAATCAAGAATCGCCGGGCCGCTTTTCAGAATTCCCATCAATTCGGAATGGTCTCTTGCCAGAAAAGGATAAAATGTAAGAAAATCGCGGAAAAATATACCAATAAATGAGTGAATATCTTTTGTTCCATTTTTTTAAATTTTTGTCATATTTTTATCGCATACGATTTTTTCAATTTGACGAACAATTTTGAACAATTTTCTAAATTTTTACACATCTCAACACTTCGCTTTGAGGGTATTATATGCATGTTGCAATTATCGTCCGATCCTCACGAAATTGTAGAATTAAAGACTATTGTTTCAAATGGGCTAAAAAATAAATTTTTCTAATTTTGTAGTCACTCTATAGGACACAATTGAAAACCAATCGATACTGAATTTCGCATCAGAAGAGATTTAAATACAGGGAAGAAGCCTAGAATTGTGGATGATCATTGGATTATATTTGGCTGTAAACTGGACCACAACTTTCGTGTGTTATTGTTTTGAATACCTAACAACACCACGGAGTGCATAAATATTGGCCAAATTCCAAAAACCAAGGGGTAACATCTGGCAGGGCCCTTTCACATTATTTCAAAAACGAAATCTTCCAAAATGGATTTGGACATAAGGGGACTTCGAACATATTGCAGTGTTGTAGGGTATCACATGGTCGGCCCCGCACGACTATAGCCTTTGCTTACTTGTTAATTTTTTTATTTAATATTCTTCTTTTGCAATGAGGAATTAAGGATTTCAAACTTTTTTAACATGTTTTTTGAACTTTAATTATAATGTTTTTATTTAGCGATTTCTACGTAAATTTGTGTTGCGTCTATTTAAATACATTTACAAACGGAATGACGAACTTAATATACCCTCCATACTATGTATCTTATTTAAAAATGTCGGTATGTATGAACATATCGTAATAGGTGTATCTGTGAACAATTTTGTATATCCTCCACCATACATAGTTCGTTATTCCACTTGTAACTCATCGAAATAATCATTTTAGATATAACAAAGTATATATATTTCTGGTCAGCGTAAAATTCTAAGACGATTTAGCCCTGTATGTCTCTCCGTATGTTGTAATCACGCTAGAGTCAAAACGAATTAAGATATAAAGCCTAAATTTTGGACAGATAAGTTTTTGTGTGCAGGCAGTTCAAGTTCGAAGATGGGCTATATCGGTCCCCGATATCGTATATCCCCCATATAACGGTAACTCTCTATATTCGGTATTTTGATGATTTTAGCTACATTTTTCACTGTAATTGTCTTAAAATGTATACTAGAAGTTCTTTTCAAGCACTTTCGTATTTGAATGTTTTAATGGGTTATGACAAAAGTTGCTTGTGCGGGTCTACGTCTTCGTATAGACCCCAATATAACGGCTTTAGTCGGTATTTTTAGGATTTTAACAGAATTTTCAGCTGAAGTTTTTTTTTTTTTGAAAATTTACAAATTCGTTCCCAATATTGGAGGGTTTAATTCTTGTTGTTATATCCTTATATTATCAGTATGATCTCGTTTCGTTGCATTTTCTTAAATAAACAAAACTTTTTTATTTAACCTCCCACAGGCAGACAGCTACTTACGAAGGACAAATTTCGGTCGACCGTCGCTGCCCACTATTGGGAAGTTTCACTGTATTCCTATGTATGTGTTACAAACGCAATGACAATATATACTCAAAACATTAAAAAACACATGTCCATGAAAAATAACATCAGTTTTTTTTAATAAAAGACCTTATTTACTTTTGAGAAATTTAGCAGTTTTGCCAATTCGTTGAAATATTCGTATGATTTCACTATACAAATGGACTCCATAGTACTCGCTTGAAGATCAAAACCCTAAAGGAATCTTGGGTTCTTATGACAATTTTAGTTTTTACCATATACAAAAGGACCCCTATCGTTTGTGATATATTTCGTAACATATAGGATAGAGCTTTGAAATTTGATACAAATCTTCAGATTGTTTCCAAAATTATTGGTACAGACAATTTAAAATATTTTTACGTCTTCCATTTTATTTGGCCAAATTTAAGCATTTGAGTTTTCAAAATGTGGCCATAATGCAAAATCATAGATCTCGTATTATATTTAAGCAAGTAAATAACAGTTAAGATCGGCCCTCCCCCTTTTGAAAGGGAACACAGTTTTTTTAATTATGTCTATAAGTGACGAGGGCTCTTTGCCTCCACCATTTAAAAAGGAACACAGTTTTTTAATTATGTCTATAAGTGACGAAGGCTATTTGCTCTGAAGCAAGCATTAAGTTTTAATACACCAACAAAAGATTTCTATATAAAAGTATCTGGATTGTAATGTGATTCACTTTAAATTACAAATAGCAGTAAGACCGTTTGGATAATGCAAACGGACTTTTTTTCTGCATCGTATGAAGCGCCATCATTCTTCCACTACGGTCTTTTTTATGGCTTTAGATTTTGTAATATAGGTCATATTGGTCAAGCGTTACCAATAAGTAAATTTTAATATTGAAATAAAAATCAGTTCGGTGGCATTAAACGGGGAACAAATAAATGGTTTATTGTTCCCGCTGAAGGCCGCTT